AAGTGGAGAGAAAATGTTTTGAGAATGATGTACAAATGCACTTTACACAATTGATGTGTGTATGGAATGTGATAAGAGTTGTATGAGTCCCTAATAAAATGATTTTTTAAAAAGTTATAAGGAACCTTGTGTCTGCTTGTTCCATTGTCAACTGATGGACTCCAATTCATAGTGACCCTAGGTAGGGTTTCTGAGGCAGTGTTCTCCCTGGCACCGCTGATGGGTTTGAAATGCCAACAATCCAACCGTGGGGCCAGGAGTCCTTGTCTGCTAATTGTCAACAACTGCATTCCTGATTATTCAGAAACCCGAGCTCATGTAAAACATCTGGAAAAATCAGGGACTCGCCCAGAAGTGTGAATCTCATAAAGGTGGTAGGGTTGGGGAGGGAGGGAATAATGAGGTTCTTGAAGGGCTCAAATAGAAAGAAACTGTTTTTGAAAATGACCGCGGCAGCATCTGTACATGTTCGCTTGATGTCATTGATTTATGGATTGTTATAACATCTGTAAGAGCCGCCAATAAAATGATTTTTGTTTAAAAGCGTCATCTCTACGCATTCGAATTTCAGATAGGATTCCACCGCCACAGCCTGTGTGGCTGTCAGATTCCCTGCTGACGTCACCTTCTAAGAAAAGGTTTTCTCTCGAATTTGGGGTTGGTGAATGGGCTTGGCCACTCCAGGGCGCACACTTTTAGGAAAGGAACAACACTCATTGTGGTCACCTACAACGCTAACAGAACTGCCCCCGGGGCTTTGGGAGGATGCGCATCTTTGGGAAGCCAACTGCGACGACGTCCTCCCGCGGGGCGCCCGGGTGGCCACGCCGACCCGCGCCCCGGGGTCCGGCCCTTCCCGTGGCTGTTGCCAAGATTTCTCGCCGCTCCGCCAAATCTGCTTCGTCCGAGCAACTGCGGGAGCAGCGGCGCCAAGTCGGAGACGTCGCAAGGAATGCGGCTTTCTGTGACAAGACCAGGCACCGAGCGAGCCGGCCGTCACTCCAGGCAGGCAGGCGGACGGGAAAAGCGACTGACGGGAGGAAAGAACCAAAGATGTGACCTGGATAACGTTGCCACAGCAACCGCTCCGCCGGGGCCCTACCAGCAGCCGCGTACGGAACACGCAAATATGGCGGCGCCCTTGCGTGAGGAGGCGCGACCGTGTGCCCTGGGTCCCCTGACGGAACCCGGCTCCGAGGCGACAGCGTCTCCGGGGAGGATGTGGCCGTATTGCTTGCCCACGTCGACGTCGGGCGGGCGGCGTACGAACTCGACCGGCAAGGCGGCCGCGCCTACGGGAAGGCTGCGCCCCGGGCGCTGCCATGTGTCCCGGGAACGTGGGGACTCGGCCGCCGTACGGACTGGGTAGTCAAGATGGTGGCACCGAGGAGCCCTGCGAGGTT